TTTATTTTTATGCCTATTGGTGGTTGGCGGGTGTTCTGGTGAGGTTTGCTCCTTTTTTCCCCAGTCGAACATCTGTTATGATCTATTGACCTGGTCTCTCCTCCTTCCATCCTTTGTATGTTATTCTCTAGTAGTGGGTGGTTGGCAGGTGCTCTGGTGTGGTTTGCTTCTTCTTTCCTGTCAAGCATCTATCGTCTTTATATCCCCTCCTTCTTTTTTATGTTTGTGACTCTCTTGTAAAATCTCTAATCTTCTGGCACTCATATGAATATGACCTTATGCAGTTGCAAGCGCCGTAACATCTCCACTAAAACTAAACTACTCTCTAATAACGCCTCTAATCTTTGACACTTACATGACCTATTTTTACGCGGGTGGTTGGCGGGTGCTCTGGTGTGGTCTGCTCCTTCTTTCCTATCAAACACCTATCATCCTTATCTACCCTCCTTCTTTTTTATGTTTGTTACTCTCTTGTAACACCTCTAATCTTCTGGCGCTCATATGACCTTACGCAGTTGCGAGCGCCGAAAAACCTCTACTAAAACTACTAAAACAGACAATGACCTATTTGTGTTACCAGTGCAGTAAAACTCTTATTGAAACTATAAGTAAAACTGCTGTATCTCCGTAACGTAGATGGGCTTCAGTGAGATTTATTTACAGTAATGCTGTGTCTGATTTATGTGTTGAGCTTCAGCAGTCGTTAATGTTTAATGTTCTACCGCAGTCCGAGATTAGTTTTAACTCATTGAGGAATCAAATTTTGCTCATTTTTAGTTTTAGTAGAGGTTTAACGGCGCTAGGAAAGAAGAAGCAAACCACACCAGAGCACCCGCCAACCACCCACTTTGTTCATTTGAAGATAAACTGTGGGGGTTGGCGGGTGCTCTGGTGTGGTTTGCTCTTTCTTTTCTATCAAACATCTATCGTCCTTATTCCTCCTCCTTTTTTTGTGCATGTTGCTGTCTTGTAACACATCTATTCATCGGCACTTATATGACCTTTTTGTATTTTAAGTGCCGTAATACTCTTACTCAAACTAGAAGATACACTGTTTTAGAGGTACTTTTTAAAAAATGAGCATAGATTCAGTATTCCTCATGATTTTTAAATTCTGTTTCCTTTTTCTGAAACTTTAAAAGATAGACAACATCATTCGTTCTTTGAAATATACTTATATTAGCGTTCCTGATTTCTATATTGGTCGCTCGAATGTGTTATGTGTCACAACGTTGTCTTTGGTCTGCTGTGAGACACAGTGTGTCGGCTACGTCTCTGAAGGGTTAATGTTTTATTACTCCACTTATAATGTCAGAAGTGATGGTTATTGTCACTAATTAGGCCAATGGATGCTTAGAAATGCCTGGGTCAATGGAGGGCGTCACGGCCAGTTCTACGTCATATCTTTCTCTCTGTTGTTTTTATCTGTATCTGTCTGTCCGTCCTGCTATTGCCCAGGGCTAAATGGTTGTACGTCATATCTTTCTCTCTGTTGGTTTTGTCTGTCTGTCCGTCTTACTGTTGCCTGCGGCTAAATGGCTTTTTATCAGGTCGATGTGCTTGTCTGTAGTCGAGCCAGTGAACAGGATTTTGGAATGGTGGTCGCTCTTACAACAAGGAAGGGATTGATACTCTGGATTCTGTTATACTATCTTATGTCTCAACTATGACTTTTCTGATATGTCTTTCTTTTTCATCTTGTTTTTTAGTTAGTAAGAGTTTTACAGCACTTGCAGCACAATAAGATCATATAAGTACCAAAGATTAGAGGTGTTACAAGAGAGTAACAAACACAAAAAAGGAGGAGGAGAGAGAAGGACGATAGTTGTTGGGTTGGGTTTTTTTAGGAAAGAAGGAGCAAACCACACCAGAGCACCCGCCAACCAACCACTTTTTCATGTTGAGAAAGTGATCTTAAGTTTACCCGTTCTATAACTGTCGTTTTTTGTCCTTTTCTGTCGAGTTGATATCAGTGGATGACAACAACCGGCGTGTGTGCTATAGCATGCAGGATCCGAATTATGAATACTAGGCCTCTATAATATACATACATATAATAATATCAGGTAAGAAAGTTGACAACTTATTTCTGTTGCAGTTATGTGTGATGTTAAGTAGACTTTTCCCTCCATGTTCTCTGTGAGAAATAAATGTTTTTCTTTAATTAAAAGCAAGAACCGACAGGTGTAAAAACTCCACCATACCGCCCTCAGTACTAGAGGTGGGCAAAATCCGGATAATCTACAAGGATAACCGGATAATTCTCAATATAACATTATCCGAATTCAGACTCTTAACTCTCTTTCCTGACCCGTTTGTCGAAGTGGGTGCACCCATAATTTGCCGAAGCGGTTCTAACCCATTTGCCGAAGTGGTTCATATCATATTATTTGCCCAAGAGGTGCACTAACATAGTATCTGGATTTTGCTAAAGTGACTCATTGCCCAGCCTTACTCAGTACGAGCTAGTCAGTCATTATCAGATGTGCGGGAATAACATCATTTTGTATGTCCGTCTGACGACTATAAGTATGTATACATCCGTGTATGTAAATGTATACATATACATGCGTACGTGTGTGTGTGTATGTGTGTGTGTGTGTGTGTGAGAGAGAGAGAGAGAGAGAGAGAGAGAGAGAGAGCGTGTGCGTGTGTGTGTGCGCGTGTGTGTGCGTGTGTGTGTGCGCGTGTGTGTGTTTGTGTCTACATGTGTGTGTGTGTTTGTGTCTACATGTGTGTGTGTGTGTTTGTGT